GCAGAGCTCAAGCCAGCCAATGAGGATGCGTTTCTCGCATTATTCTATAGCAGCTGTGACCAGCGACAGTGGCCACTTTGTCACCGTCACGGCAAGATATTACCCGCAAACATCGCCGTGAAATTGATGCACGACTGGTGGGATGACCGTCTAAGCGATCAACAGCCATCCTAACAATGCTGGAGTGGCGGGGAGAGTGGCTCTATTAGATGACAGTGCTCGATTTCGTCTGGGAGAGAGAATCGATAGCCGCTCCTGACAACAGCACCGCTGTCAACTGTTGCTGGTGGCCGTTCGTCACGTACGGTGGGAGAGAGAGAGAGAGAGAGAGAGAGAGAGAGAGAGAGAGAGAGAGAGAGGGGGGGGGAGAGAGGGAGAGAGCTGCACGAGCTGACGACATTACCGCTCCACCACCACCGGTTTGCGCTCCCCTCTCCCTTCCCACCCCGGGGGTCGCCGCCGCCAATTTCCTGACCCGGGGGACGCCAAGAACCCGACCACAGACGTAAGAGCCGCGCCGGGTGATCGTCACGAGCGCGCCGCGTTCGCCACTCTCGCCTTTCACCGTCACCTGATGGTAGACCGCGCTGCGGCGTGATGAGCCGGGTTTTACAGACGTTCTGCGTGTGCCGGGCTGAGCTAACAGCCCGCGGTTTGACCAGGACGTTTTGGGTTCGATTTGCCAGCGGAGAAAGCTGTGAGACGGTGGTCATGAAGGGTGAGGTGATGGTTTCGGTTTGTGCTCATAGTAAAAAGCGGAACATGAACAGCATCTTGTGTTTTGGCCTCTTGCGTAATATATTGGCGTGGTTTGAGCATTGTACTAAAGTTATCGCTGTCGTAATTGTGGGCAGCTTTTATTGTGCTACATTGTAATACCGTATTTCGTCTGCTGAACCCTTCCGCACCCTATATATACTCTTACTCTTGCACCCTACGTCGTTCCTACCTCTGCCATTCCGCTATAGGTATTCCTACCCTCGTCCCTTACCCTTCACATCGTTGGATAATCGGAACAATACTAAATGCAAACGCGCACCGAGATGTTTATTGAACGGATCGGGAAGCTCTACTGACAATTCGGTTCGTACCCCGTAAATAGGGTCGCTGGTCGTTGCGGCGCCACGGCCGGGCACAGCTGCCATCTGATCCAGTTGTTGTAGGACATCCAGTCGTAAGGCGGGTTCCCACCGCGCCGTCACAGTTTGAGCCGCGGCCGGCCGATTGGTCCCGATTCGGTCCGTCTGTGACTGAATCGGTCCGCCCGCGGCGGCTTTATAGCCATTCCCAGGAAACCGATGTCGGACATTTTTTTGTCGACTTTCCTTCGTTCTGGAAAATCAATGTGCTGATCCAGACCGACATGGTTCAAATGATCCGAGGAGACGTCTTTTTAGACGGTATATCGAGAGTCAACAGTTTTTTTGCCGCAATGGGTTCCTTATGGTGATCAATCGCTCAAAACAGCATACTCAATACTCACAAAGTGTACCGAATAAAACAACAAAAACGCATTTAATGTTGATGTACCCATGTCTTGCCAAGAAATGCATTTTCTAAGCCATGTGACATGGCATGAGGAGAGTAGATAGCATGTGCTAAGGGGCAGCCACGCCTTTTGTGACTTTCATATTTTGCTGATGTGTCTACTAATGCTCTAACGATTTAGCCCGGCCTGTGATATATGAGCAGTAAATCGCGGTTGCCACAAACGACTGACTGGCGTGTCAGTGCCTCATGGCCGTCACACAGTGACACGGTCACAGCGTGGCCAGTGACACGGTGACACGGTACGTCACGCGGCCCAGTGGAACCGCTCACCACCGCCCCGGCACCCTGGGAGGCCAGCTGGCCTAAATGTGACCGCCGCTCACGGCCGGCACGGATGGACGGCAGACTGCATGGACTGCAAAGTGGCCGCAATGGGGCCAGCCGGACGGCCGAGCGGCGGTCGCGTGCCCGGCGCCGGAGCGGCTGTACAGTCGGACCACCCTCGTACAATGGGGGCTGTCAGCTCTGGCATTCAAAACGCGAGAACCTACATAGTCTTCTGTACTTACATGCTGCTCTGAAGAAATGTTATGGTCTGTGTAGGAGTGTATGGGTTCAGCTGGAACTGACGCGACCATGCTGCCGTGGTTTGCTGGGAAATAAGACTACCTTATTAGTGTCGCACTGTAGGTAAGTACCGTAGCAGTGTATTTTATGTATTATAAGTTTTTGTAATGTTCCCGTACTTGCTTTTTTATTGAGCGCTTAAACGCTGGTTTTGTTGCCAGCAATCTAGGCATGAGGAGAGCTTTCGTCCTGACAATTCCTGGTTATTTTTGCGATCGATAGACAAGCTGTTGAATAATAAACGATTAATCAACAATAAATTAACTCTTAAAACATGGGTTTGTCGCGAGCAAAAACCGACACAGGCAAAATTATGCTGATTATTTGTTGGCTTGCCGGTCGTCTTTCATTAAATCGGCATTCTTTAAGATCGATCACCTACATCAGCGTTATTTTGGAGTTTATTTTTTAAATTATTTTGTACACCGGTCTTTAAAAACTGCGATTTCGTGGCAGCCCATAATCGGTTCGGCTTCCCATGTAACATTCATATGCCCCAGAACTGGTGGGAATATTCACAGGATGAAACTCCAAAGCCTGATGCTACTCTATAATCTTGTTATCATCACATCAGTTCAATGACCGAGAAAAATCGGCCACTAGCGCGCGTGTGCGGACGGGTCCTTTAACCCTCGCCCGCACATGGGGGGGGGGGTTGCCACCCCCCCCAGGCAGTCTTTCTGCTCTGCACTCAACATTTTTAGAGCTAGAAGGCTGATTTTTCGTATAGCTGCTCGTCTATCCTTCCTTGATGTCCACTGAAAATTTCAAGTTTCTGTGATTTTTGGTTTCGGAGATATGACCTTGTTTTTCAGGTCATGTCATGACCCAAATGGCCAATTCTCAACATCTTGCGTTTGCCATGGGCCTTGTGAGCTTTTGACACCCTGATTTCGGCCTTTTTTGCCAGTCTTACCTCCCACCTATCATGGAACATGTTGTTCGACGATGTACAGGGGTCAAGGTCAGGGTCAAGGCATAGACCTCTGTATACAGAGGTCTATGGTCAAGGTCAACCTAGGTCATCTAAGATAATTGCGTTTTAGGCAAGCTGAATTTACTTTTTGTGAAGTTTTTTTTACTGCATTTTTGGTAAAAGCTTCTCAGATCATGATTTCATGTGATATGGACCCAAAAACAATCGGTGCACACATCAGTATACACACAGACACACACAGACATACAAACACATATAATTGACCTTTACCTAACTTGACCTGAAATGACCTCAGCAGCAAAGTTCTGGTCGGATAGTGTGACAAAGAGGTTCTAGCTGGCTTGGCACCAGAAAACAGCATCGTCTTCGGTATTTGATAAGCAGCGCACTTGATATCCAACGGTGACCCAAAACAGCAACATTTTTTAGTTTGACCTGACCTGGAAGGTCAATGACTGACCTGAGAAGGTAAAACTGGGTATCATTGGATTCGTCTCTTCCCAAAGAATCTTTTTGGTCTTTACTGCTAAGCTCTATCTCCAACAGGAACGAAATGGCGCGGGGGGGGGGGTGGCAACCACCCCCCCCCCATGTGCGTTCTAGGATGGGAAAATGGCATGTGCGGGCGAGGGTTAAATGCCCACCGCATGGTCAGGTGTGTGAATGTAGAAACACGGACACGACAGCGAAAGTGTTTGCGTTTCCCGGAGCAGTTTTTGGTGTCTGACAAAAACGCTGGCTGTGCGGCGACCGACATAAAAACGCGGCGCCTCGCTCCGGACATAAACGGTGTATGTAGTGCACGTACTACGGGACGGGGCGCGCACGGGCGCGTACTTTTCACATATATCGGTGTGCCAAGATGAGGCTGAAACCGTCATCTGACATCTGCCCAGATTCACTCGACAGAACAGAGGCAATTGTCCGACGGGTCACGGGATATGAGGCGGAATCTTCTCTATTTCATTCATTCGACCATGAGACTCTTTTTCTCGTAATAACCATGTTTCACGTCGGTTAGCCTTGCATTACGCCAACTCATACCCCTTGATTAACCACCCACTCATACGTGCGTCAACCTAACTGCAGTGCTGGTTTCAGTCCGAAGTATGGCCCCCATAACCGCCCTGTCAGCGACTGCACCCACCGATGACCAGTCCTGACTCCACCCACCCACAGTGCAGCTGGCGCATCCCACACATCCAAATAACCCAATAGACTGTCGGTCAGTGAGTGTCTGCCTGAGCTCAGCCCATGTCAATCCGTACAAACAGACTGGCACATGTTTTTAATGTTGAAGCTCAGTTGAGTGGCCAGACTCAGCGAGTGCCCATGAACCTGCGGTGTTGAGAAGCCCATCCCACGTCAGTGCGGTGGCCTGACTCACTACCGAGTACACACGCCACGGGTCTGCAGTGTTGCCAGCCGGACTGACCCACAGAGGCGGCGACCTCCGGCGGTGGAGCTGCTCTCAATCTCTCCTGCAGAGTACGTCCGCTCCGGACAGGTCGGGTCGGCCGCCGACCTTCCCCGGCCACTGACCGACAAGGTCACATTCCGACCGGAGAAACCGGGCCGTGACCGCGCCGGGCCGGCCTGCATACGGACGGACCTCGTGGAACCCGTGGAAAGGCCCTGCAATCTGCATACGGCCAGAGCTCGTGGATAGGGGACGGTCCTGCCGGAGAGCGTCGGTCCGATTCGCCCCGCATACAGTGGTCTCGGACCTCATGAAAAGGAGCGTCGCCGTCGCAGTGTCAATTTGTTGGAACTTTGGATGTTTTTCTGTCCTCAGTAAATGGTGCAAACTCTATAAACAGTTAATCTTACCGATGGCCTGGGGACAGTTAGCTTTGCTGTATTGTCATATTGCCGGCCCCTACACCGATCCACAGGCATGATCACTCAGGCCACATACTAACAGTCGCCTCTCTTGTCGTTGCAGAGCACCTGAACTGATCAGTGAGCTGGTTTGACCATCCAGCCACCATGTGACCCCGACGAGGCGTGTCCGGGGATGAACGGATCAAATGCCGGTCGTATCCCGGACATCAAAAGCCGTCCGTACCCGCTCTCCGGCGCCTCTACCACCTCGCTCCAGACGTGAGTACCATTTGGCTCTGTACGGGCCGGCGCCGTGATATACCGGCGCCGTGAACCGGTGTCCGTCCCGCCCAGATGAGTTGTGGGCGGTACCGCGCCGCCGCCCGTAGCACCGGCACACCTCCGAGCCGTGAGATCGGCCGGCGATCACCAGATAGCGGTGTAATAACCCCACACCAGCGGCTGAGCGAGGGCCTGCGAGGCACCCTGCAGTTAGGTGACGCAGGTGTTTGCAGATGGATTTGTCATTCGGCAGGCATGGCGTAAATAAGAGCATGCGGATTTATCGTCGAGTAATATGAAGACGTCATCACAAGCTTCATGATTATGCAAGTCTGACATCGAAAAAGCGACTTTCTTATCCCGGATCTATCTCCTCCATGGAATATGGGACATTCTTCTGAGAACGAGGACACAAAGCAAGACGTGGCACCTCCTCGCAGACGGCCCGCTTAGGGGGATTCAGTTTACGGTCCGACACCCGTCTGGTATGTACGTACGCCGGCGTGTGTGACCTGGTCCAATTTGTCGGCGCTACGTTCGCTGGGAGACGTTCTAAAGGCGGCAGAAACGCCGGAGAAATGCGCGACTCTGCCGGCACTCGGCAGAAATGGAGCGTGTCAGTGCCATTGAGCGTTTGACAAATCCCCGCGCTGTACGGCGGTAGGGAGTGTGACAGGCCCGGGTCGCTGGGTCTCTAAGATGCTAGCCAAGCGTTATCTTTTGACCTGCCGATAGTGGGATTGCCATTATCACACCCTGACCTACCCCTGAGTTTCAGTGGAAAGGTGTAACTTTCCCTGAAAACTAATTATCCGCACCCCACTAGTGCCGGCGGCACCGGCAACGTTGTCGGCAGTTACTGGCGCTTGCAGCTACCTGAACCGTGGCAATCAACGATAGGAACGAAATGCTGCCAAAATGTCGATAAATACCACATGGAATACAGCTTGGGATCAATAATTGAAATTGAGGGCGTTGACAAATTAAATATAGAGATACACGATCTAAGATTTATGATAAGCCGTTTTCGCAAATTAATCACCGCCTATCAGAATATTCCAAAACACATCCGCCATTCGCGTACCATTTCTCATCAGCCGGCCGTCGTATTTCATCAGCTAACCAGCCGCTGTCAGCGGGCCGTCAGCGCTCCGCTGATCAACGAGTGTCCTCGCGGCGGTCAGCGCTGAGCGTCAGCGCCGCCCCGCTGACCTGAATCGGCCGTCAGCTGACGGAGCCGCGCCGCACGCCGTCCCGCGCGCGCCACTTTTGCACGCCGTCATGCGTGACGCCGGGAGAGGAGAGGAGAGGAGAGGAGAGGAGAGGAGAGGAGAGGAGAGGAGAGGAGAGGAGAGGAGAGGAGAGGATGGTGGGGGCCGGCGGTGGGGACCGATGGGTCCAGTGTCCACTGCTGTGGTTGGACAATTTTATCGTCTGCAGGTCGTGTTTTCAGTGCGCTTACGCATCGGTGATAGGGCGTATCTTGGATACGACAATGAATGTTGGCGCCTTCCATATCGTTACTTCCAGTAACTGGCGATGTCCATTGGACGATACTCGTATTGCAGGGTAAATCATATAAAGATATGACTTACTGCGTTTAACCCGGCCGGGCCCGGGGGGTAGTCCCAACCACCGCAGCCCGGGGGGGGGGCGTTTTTCGCCCCCCCCTGTCTAACTCCATAAATAAGGGAGCTACGCAAACAAAAGCGATACCAAACGAAAGGTCCTTACGAGACGATTCTAGGGCACCTAAAATTTTTGACCTCAGGTCAATTTTCAAGGTCAGAGGTCAAGGTCAAAGGCAAAAACCGGCACATGTGTAGTGATCTCAAAGTAAGCCTTCTAGAGGACGGCAGGATGCATCAAACCGGCAAAATTGGGTGTCAAACGAAAGAAGAGAATCTGAGGATTCCGAAAATGTGCTCATAATCAAAGGTCAAGGTCAAGGTCACGCCCAAAATTGACCTCAAACTTTGCACTTTTTCGTACATCTTGCGTGCTAACTTCCAAAATGTTTTGAAATGTTTTGAGGCTTATCAGTTCCCTATTTGTGGTTCATCTTACGATACAAGGCTGCTCAAAGGTCAAGGTCACAGAAGAGTATCCTTGCTAGAGGCTATTTCACTGATTCAAGTTAGTAATAATAAATAAGACAATTTTGCCATCCGGAAGCTCTAAATGAAAGCTTAGAGGAAAATAGATGCCAGATTCGTGATCAGCGGGTACAAATTCACCATGAACGACCTTTCATGTGTCAAGGTCAACCAAAGGTCATTCGAGGTCACATGAGGTCAACATAAAATTTGACCTTTTCCAAATAAAATATATATCATTCGACGCGGCTTGACAAGGCGAATGCGATGGTACCACTGCCGTAGCTCTAGGACCATTTTTGTCGAAGTTATTTGCGAAAAACTAAAATCACATTTCGGGGTCGTTGACCTGACCTCTGACCTCAGGTCACCGAAACTATTTTTCTATTTTTCTCTAGGTCAAACGCTACACAACCGTTTTCGTAATTTGTCTTTATCTCTAAAACTCTATTTTTAGCAGCTATTTGAAGTTCGCGTCTGTGACGCCGAAGTTTGCCGTGCAGGGGTTTAGAAAAATCGACCTTGTGACGTCATCAAGGGGGCTAGGTCCAAATTTTTTACTACAGAAGATGTCAAATGGATGGGAGAAAAGGTACTGAAAGTTTCGCCTTCCTATCCCTAATCGTTCGGGAGCTATCGCAAATATTCGCCAGGGGGGCGAAAAACGCCCCCCCCCGGGCCCGCGAGGGTTAAGGTTGTCCATGTCGAATGACAAGCTACCCAGGAAGAGTTCAACTGGCGTCCGTTGTTCACCGAACCGGACATCGAACTACCTTTAGTTGGAGGTGACCGATACAATATTTGACGAAAAACACTTTATATAAAAAGGTTTTCTTTATTAAGTCAACTATAGCAAAACCATCGTCAGTCACTTTGTTCGTATTCATAAGTTATAAAAAGCCAACGACCTGCGAATGGCTTGATGCAAACCACCCGTCTCAACTCTCTAAAAAAGATGCATGAAACATTTGAAACAACACTTGCTAAAAACCTAAAAACCCTCGATTCATGGGAACCTATCGGCGGCGGTTGTAACTCGAAGTACCCGGCTCAGACGGCAGATGTCGCTGCTGCCGCAGTGGGCAGCGGTCCGGGCGGCTCTGTGATTGTGTCGTACACCCCCTCGTCGACATCGTCTAGGGTGTCCTGCGAGTCCCGTCTGGCCACGGTTGGTGGGTGTTTGTCCGGCTCGGCTGCGGGCGGCGCCGGCGGCTGATCCACACAGCCCCGCGTGATGAACTCCGAGAGCTGTGAGGGGAAAGGGAGGACAGGTCAGTGGAGGGACCGGGAAGGCGGGCTGACAAACAGCGGCCATGGACACCCACTGGCGGTCGCAGCCGCTAGCAAAAGGGGGGGCCAAAGTCACACTCGCGGGACATAACATTTGTCCGTCACCGGGAGGGGGGGGGGGGGGTGATCGGCTAATTTTTTACGTCCACGAGGTGCCATGCAGTTGGCATTACTTATGCTTCATCCATCTGATTCTTGCGTGAAATCTTTAAGCTCAATTTAAGGCAAAATCACCAGTTCCATTTCCCGTCCCACGGTGCTTCCACCGGTCGGGCCACTGCACCATGACGACGGATCGGTGTAGCATAGGTATGCTGGAAGGTCAGGCACGCGGATTCATGACCTTACCACTATAAAACAATTCGGAAAAGTACAGATACCTCTTGCTTTGAACAAGCATGTGAAACCCAGAGAGCATTTTCAGACTATGACATTTACCCATATAGGTAACATACCTAGTTATGTGGCGGCGGGAGAGAGTAGGTACACCGACCTCTGGAGACCCCCTACAGGTTCCGAGCTTTCAAAATTGGCATCTGAGGGCCGCGCGCGACTCCTGCGGGGCTTCGCAACGGCTCTATTGGGGCTCACTCAACCTGCCTAGTCCTACTGCTAAAAAGACTGGCCCTGAGCCCTAAGGACTTCATCAGTCTCTGCCAGCCCCAGGACCCACACCGGCTCATGGGGTCCCGACGTCGAAATATGAGGGAATCTGCGCGGGATCATCAGGACGTAAAGTAATCTCGATCAGGACCAACGTAAGGCTGTGCCGGAGACTACGTGAGCCCTCTGATCTTCAGAAACCCACCCATGTATGTTTTCACGTAGAGGCCAGTTTAGGGCCCTCAGAGACCAGTACAGGGCCTGCAAACTATAAAGGCCAGTAGTTTGAGACAATCAGTGACCGAGTTGGGCTCTCAGAGGCTAATGTGGGTCATTACAGGCCAACATGGGCCCTCAGAGGTCAGCGTGGGGCCCTAAAAGACCGGCATGAGCCGTCGTTGGACCCCAGAGGCCAGCAGAGGGCCCTCAAAGGCCAAGATGGGCCCTCCTCAGAGGCCAATGCAGGCCCTTAGAGGCCGGCACCGGGTCTTCAGCAGCCAGTGCGGGGCCCTCATTGGCACCTAAAGGTTCGTCTTGGGACACCACAGACAGAAATAAGGCCACCAGAGACCGGTGTGAGACCCTCAGACGCCGGTTGGGACCCCTGAGGCCGGTTAGGGAACCTCATAGGCCAGATGTGGGGTCTCAGAGGTTGATGTAGGCTCTTAGCGGTCAACGTGGGCGCTTGACCGCCACTGAAGTTCCCTCAGAGGTCAGTGTAGGACGCTCAAAGACCGGTGTGGGAGCTATATTAATAGCTGGATGTGGGTTTTTTGAGCCTCGTGACGATCGAATAATTACCAGGGCCCCATACACCTATATGGGGGCCCATTGGTTGTTTGAGGGGGGGGCAGATGATTTGATGGCCCCCTTTATTGACCTTTGGGGGGGGGGCATGGCCCTGATGCCCCCCCCCCCCCCGCGACCGCCACTGTGTACACATTACACACATGCCTCTGAGATTACATACTAGCTCATGCAAACTCTATGCAGGCCCCGGAGTTCCCACGCTAATCCTTAAGAAACCAAGCCGGCATACGGCGTCACCACCGGGCTTCTGAGGTGCACAGCACCAACCCATGAGGTCTTACTTAAGTGTCTTAGAGCCAATCTCCTTTAGCAGGGCCCACCCACCACTGCCGAAGAGGGTCTCATGCCAGCCATTGCTGGGCCTACGAGAGCCTCAAGTAAACCCACGCTGATATTCCATATAAGATCCGGCCATACTCGTGAACCGGTGCCAGCGACGCTGACCGCCAAATTGACAGAATGCGAAACTGAGCCCACTCATGAGTGAAATTTACGTCCTTTGATGGCGCAAGAAAGAAAATGAAACATACGAAAAGCTTTTCTAGGACTTTTGCTCGATCTGAAAGGTGGGGCCAAAAGATAGTATGGCCCCACCTTTCAGCACCAAAGGGGGGGCCATGGCCCCCGTGGCCCCCCCCCCCCTGGGACCGCCAGTGTGGACACCGCACAGGGCAGGAAAACGAACAACAGGCCGAGAATTCCTACAATAGCTACAAAAGAGCTATTGCTGAGTTGAGCTACAAAAGGCAGAGTGGTTTCATAGCTAAATTTCCCCGTCTCCTCCAGCCTCACCCCCTGAAGGGTGAGCCAGCCGACCATGTTCTCCCCTTTCCATCCTCCCTCTCTTCTCCCTCCCCCGTACTCACCCTCTGCAGGGTCAGACAGCCGACCAGCCGGCGCCGGTCCATCACGTACATCCGGTTGGCGCACAGCATGGCGAACATCTTGTGTATCTGCACCAGTGGCGTGTCCACGTTGACGGCCAGCGGGAACGGGTCGATCTCGATCACCTCGCGCAGCTCAACCTCGCGGTTCAGCTGGCGCCGCCGCCAGGCCCGCCGCAGACGCACCTCGGTCTCACTGGGCTCCTGAGCGGGGGAGGGGGAGGTCAGGGGGACGGGACCCGCCGCAGACGCACCTCCGTCTCACTGGGCTCCTGACCGGGGGAGGGGGAGGTCAGGGGGACAGTGACCGCCGCAGACGCACCTCGGTCTCACTGGGCTCCTATTGAGGGAGGGGAGAGGTCAGGGGGACGGGACCGGCCGCAGACGCACCTCGGTCTCACTGGGCTCCTGAGCGGGGGAGGGCGGGGAGGTCAGAGGGAGGGGGCTCTGTCTTGTTTCGCATGGGCACTTGCTGCACCTATTCAAACCGGTACTTCCAGTTCTACTTTCCAAAGGTCATATATCTTTATAGGTTGTGCGTCAGAAACACCCTAAAACTTTTCTTCCGGCACCTCCATCAAACAGTTAAGACAACATTAGATTTGCCATTCCCACAGACGCCGAAATGACATCCTTCCTTACCGTGCTCTTCATGCCGCTGAAGATGTTGGACGTCCTGTCCAGGGTTCGTTGGAAGAACTGCGTCATGTTCATAGTGTCGCCCTCTCTGTAAAAAAAAAAACAACGAGAAACATCAGAACACAGCGAGAGCAATGCAGTCAAAAGGGTAGGTGTTATGACCGAAATGATATTAGAAAATGATATTTGAATGAAATGATGTTTGGAAAAATGCTGAGCTGTGAAAGCTGGAACAGCTTGGCTACGGCTCCGATCTTCAACAATAACGGCTTTGACTTACATTTACCCGAACATCTAAATTGGTCGCTTTGAATCAATGACGGCAGAAGTATCTATTAGAAACTTGCCCCCCTCCCCCTCCCGAAATAAGATTCGGTGCCGAGCGCACGGCGGCCAAACGCAGTATCCGTCGCGATGGGCAGGATAGCACAGGTGTAATTTTAGTGCGACACCACGTTAATCACACACAACGGTGAGGTGCCTTCAGATTCACCGTATCAAGCGGCGAAGTCAGGAACTCACCGATCCGCGTATTTAAAGCAAACACACAAAGTTGCAAATCATGCTATAAGGCATTCATCGCTACCCGTACAGTAGCGTCGATGTCCAACGTGTTACGTGCAGAAGGCAGGTATGTACATCTTCCTTCGCGAGACGCATACTTTTTCGAAGTCAAATAAATCCGATTGCTACGGTGTTGGGAAGGGGAGGGAACCATGGCACGATACCTGAAATCCATGGTGTAAGTAAGAAGGAATTTGAGAATATACGGCGGTCATGTGAGAGAAACTGAAAATTATGTGTGCTCCCAACGAGGAGATGGGATGGGGACACAGTGCTGCGCCGATGGCGTCAACATTAGAACATCCATTGACATGCGGACATCATCAAACCACACAAATCAGATCGTCTTAGGAGTGAAAACCAACGCAGACCAATCACGCCGTGCCACGCACACAAAAACTCAACAAATGCACACGGGTTAGGAGGTAAGGGTTCGCAGGTGGCGACAACCAGTCCAGACCAAACTGACCGGGACTTTTCTGTCACAAGTCACACTAAACAAACAAAAACCACAAAAAAATGATATCTCCGCCGGGGACGCTCCGAGGGTGTTAGTGTCCTGCTCCGTTCCCTGTCACTGAAGGACGGCAGGGCGATACGAATGTGCTCCCGAGCGCAACCTCTCTCCTTAGACTCTAACAGCTGACCTGACGTGGTGGTCAGGGTCACCGCGCAGTCGCAGTGACCTCCATTGTCGCCTCAGGGTGACCCGCCGACCGGCCGTTAGAGCCGGGGGGTCGGCGGGGGCGCTGGGGTTCCTGGATCGCCATACATTCGTGAGGTGTGCGTCGACCGTATCCACAACGGCGGTAAATGTGAAGGGAAGATTACTTAATAACGAACGATGACGAAAAAAAATGTCGAGAAGTACTGAATGAATACTAAGGCATAAGTACGAGATCACTAACTGCTATAAATGGTGTATAATAATGTCTTGGTGCACCTCATGCTTCTTGCATATTCCATTTAGCATCGCTCAGCTGTCAAATGTGTGATTGTGTCATTGCTTTAAGTACGATCCCAACACCCTCTCCAGCACAATGACTCACCCCTGGTGCAGGTCGGACAGGCTGAACTGGCGGTTCAGCCGCTGCTGGGCGTTCTGCTTCCGCTCCTCCAGGTTCAGGTTCCCGGAGCGTTTGGGCAGCATCTTGGCGATGCCGTCCCTCAGCCGGCTGGCCCGCGAGCAGTTGGAGACCAGCGAGTCGTACACGTCGTTTGGGTCGCTGGCCTTGCGCCGCGGCGTGCCGTCAGGGTGGGTGCTGCTCTGGAGGAGCGCGTCCGAGGCCGAGCGCCGGTGACCCCTGCTGCCATCTGACGGTGTCGCTGTAGTCACATCGCCGCTGGAGATGGCGCTGTCGTCTGCGTCCCCGGCCGAGCCGTTACATTTCTGCGGAGGACATGGTGTAATGTCAGTTATCAGCATCCAACGGACCGAAGAAATGCTTCGCATCGATAATCTGGTGAAAAACAAGTCGTCATATGGACATTCGCATCCAGAGCGTGAAGCGTCACATCTAAAAGAACATCATGAACTTGCAACGTAAAAATCTCAAATATGACGCTGCTCACATCGGTTCCAAAGCCACCGTCTCTCTCCCGCTCCTCCGCACTGACCTGCCCCTCTCCCGCTCCGTTGACCTGTATCTCGGGCGCCATCAGCGGCTCCTTCTCGGCCTCAGAGGTGGCGGCGGCGCTCTCCTCCACCCGCCTAATGACGAACCGCGACCGGCGGCCGCCCGCCGCCGCCGCCGGCTCGTGCGGCGTCTCCTGAACGGTCGTCAGCGGGCCCAACGGCGCCTCCGGACCCGCCCGCTGGCCGCGCACGTTAATGGGTCGACGGGGGACGATCAGATGAGCTGGCCCGCGCTTCCGGGCCATCAGACGTGCCTGCCGGGATAGGGGAGAGGGGTCAGCGATGTCGTCACCCTGGATAGGACTTAAAACTACCTCAGTGAAAGGATTTAGTGTTATGAACGTGAGATCTCTACCAAATATATAATTCCCACGAAAATTACTGACACGGTACGCACAAAGGGACTAACACCAGCCTGTAAGTCATCAGCTTGGGTCGCATATAGCGCAACAGAAACTGGTGCTGATCTGCTCCAACCCTGACCTCACCCTGAGCTAACGCGCCCTACCTTGACGCCGTCCATGAGTCCGGTGTTGACGGTGCAGTACGTCTCCGGGTGGCTGTCCTCGAAGGCCAGCTGACCCGCAGAGTTGCGTCTCGGCAAGGTCGGAGAGGCGGTGTCACCGGCCGGTGAGCCGGGACGGGGAGACGTGGAGCCCGGCCGGTCAATCTCCAGGCCTAACTGGCCCACTGCCGGCGCGTTACGGACGCGGTCCCAGTCCAGCGCCCTGGCGAGTTGGAGGGGGGGGGGGCGGTTACTAATAGGCAGAAGAAGAATATTTCGGCGGGCAGGGACTGACCGGCTGGTATGTTCACTGGTGATGACATAATCTGACGCCAAATTGACTGCATATACACAACTTCCTAGAAATCAATTATTCTTGTAAATGACAAACATTTCTATTAAAAAGTCCTAAGCAGCAAGCAAGCAGGAAGAGAGAATTTGAATGCTTTGGTAAACCTCCTCCGTAGATTTAATAAAGAGAGGTCCAACTCAAAGAAAATCCTTTCACCAACACCGTATCACTAGCCGTCCCAAAGCACACCTCATGATGCCATCGCCCGACCAAACCAACATGCATAATGTAAATGTTCATGAACTTCAATTCAAACGGCACCCGAGCAGCCCAGATAACGCAATGTCAATTCACATACCTACTTACTGGCTGGTGCATCGCAATCTGGCAACAGTTACACATACTGAATCTTTTAACGAAGGTCACATGTTCACGAAAACGAGCATTATAATATTTTAGCATCTTGTAATAGTTATCCTCGACTCTAACGGATCAAGAATCATTACTGTTGTACCATTACTGTTACCTGTTCCGAGCCAGCTTATTTCTACTGGGCCCGCCCGGTGCAGTAGGGGATTTGTAGCTCACGTAATCCTACAGGACCCGTCCGCTGCCGTGGGGAGTTCTAACTCACTTGAAGGCGTTCATGGTGAGATAGACGCGCGGCTTGTCCCTGTTCCAGGCCAGCTGACCCAGCTCCTCGCGGAGCAGGCGGCGGACCCGACGGACGTGCACCAATCCGAGCGGCTCCATGCTCACTGCCGGACGGAGAAGTATAACAGAGGTGAGCACTGAGCACCAACCAAGGCTATAGAACTCCAACAGGGGTGGCACCAACAGGGATGGTAGTTGCCTCACCATTCCAGGCTACATTATCCAATATACAGCACTGGAAACACACTACCAACATAAAAACAGCTTGTTTCGTCAAACGTTAAAAACAGCCTGAAATATTTTCTGTCTGCCCCACACCCCCTCTCCGTCCCTTCTCGTTCCCCAGAGACGCCCTATTCCCCTGCCCCACTCTCCCTTCCTCCATACCTTCGTCGTCGACGAGCGGCAGCACCTTGGCCGGGTCGTGTACGTAGCGCACCATCTTCCTCAGGCTGTTCAGGGTGGCCCGCTGTGTGAACACGCGGAACTCGGTGGACATCAGGTCCTGGGCGCGAATATTGGCGTAACCTGCGGGAGAGGGGGGTCACACATACATTAACACGTTGGACATCAGGTCCTGGACGCGGATATTGGCGTAGCCTGGGGTCGAAAACACGTTAAGAAATGGAAAGCGAGGTGGTTTGGTACCTTGAAACCGTATCATGGGCGCAAAGTAAGCTTAGCGGTAAAACCGCCCTTTAAAGGGACCCTCCCACCTTAACATTAGATTTGAGTTGAGATAGCCAAAATGGGGTCCCTGGCTCACAATTACCGGTTTCGGCACTCACAACATCGAGAAATGCCTTAAATCGGAAATATTGAATTTCAAAATTGCAGCATTTTGATTCAGAGGGGCTAATGCATAGGAATACCCCTCTGAATGTGTGACGTCATCGCAGATATCTAACGATTTTTAAATGTTTGACTAAAACGTTTTGTAACACGCGGTGGTATAGGCTGCTTTGCGCGCAACAAATGCCGCACTTTCAAATAAAGTCGCTAGGAACAGCGGAGATCCCAAAAAGTAAACAAAAATAAAAGTCTAATATCTTGAAAACCGGTGAATATTTTTCGATGAAATTTGGTAGATATTTGTTTTTGCTCTTTCTTAACCAAGCGACATCACTTTCATGCCAATTCATTAACTTTTTTGAAGGTGGGAGGGTCCCTTTTTAAATCTACATAACATTAGCAAAGAAATACCGATGAGGTTATAAGGAGTTTAAAATATCATTCCCATGGGAACATTGCTGAAAATCGATATCTACACAAGCCAACAAGAAAACTGACGATTGGTCCGAAGACAGTATACATAATACCCTTTAGCCGGCTGTCACCCAATTATTCGGGAATTTCATCACATCACAGATGTACGGAACCAATCTATTCGGCCCGCCTGACTATTCCTCTCACCTCCTGGGATTTTGGAGAGCACCATTTTGGGCAGCACGGTGATCTTTTTGGACTTGATGACGCTGTCGAAGAAGGACGGCTGCAGGTGGCGGGCCAGCGCGTTGGCCACCAGCACCGAGATCAGGATGGGCAGCACGTAGGTGATCTGGCCGGTCAGCTCGAACACGATCACCGATATGGAGATGGAGTGGGTGATGGCGCCAGTTAGAGCCGCGCCGCACATACACGCGAACCCGCCTGGGGAAAAGGGGAAGGGACAGGTCAGAACACAGGTCACAGGGGTCAAAGGTCACATAGGTCAAAGTTCACTTATAGTATCGCACAGGTTATTGCTGCACATTCAGGAGAAACAAACTACATTACAACACCAGGTAGGAGTAAAGAGTGCAAAAAATGAGATTGTCAATGCTAAGGAGCAAACGATTCACTAAAGGCAGCCGTACGACTCGAATGGATGCATGATGCGTCAGCTACAGAGGCTTGCGACATTCTTAAAACGTTCGGAATAACAAAAACGTATGTCAACTTGACGGGAAATCGCTCCTTCAGAATACCGATCAACGGTTTATTAAACAAAAACAGCCGGACAAAGTGAACCGATACTGTGTGTGACCCGACATTCACTCGCTGGCGAGGCCAGGGAGATGAAGAAGTAGCAACTCACTGATGACGGCCGGGTTGGGCAGGCAGACCGACATGCGGTACGTGCAGTAAAACTCCCCCTACATACTCGGGTTAATACTCATTACTCACTGATGACGGCCGGGTTGGGCAGGCAGACCGACAGGCGGTACGTGCAGTAAAACTCCCCCTACTCGGGTTAATACTCACTAATGACGGCCGGGTTGGGCAGACAGACCGACATGCGGTACGTGCAGTAAAACTCCCCCAGCAGCCGACCGATGGCCACGCCGACCTTGAAGCTGGGTATGAGCGCGCCCGTCGGCAGCGTCACACTGGCACAGAGCAGCGTGCCGAACGCCTGGGAATAGACAGGAAACGTCACAATGAGGAAAGGTATAGTTCGGGGTTTATCAAAGAGACAGCATCCGTCGACCAAAGACACAGCAAAGACGGTAACAGGGCCCGATCAAAATTCACAAGATTTATGGCTCCTGGCACCGATGAAATGTATTCAGAGCAAGCCCGCTTCCGCTACTGACCCTTCACTCAGTACAAGCTCGCACACTCGTAGGACAGCGCGTGTTGAAGAATAGAATCACAACACTCACATAGAAGAGCGCATACAGCACGAGCACGGCTCGGTAGTCGAGCGCGAAGTCGTCGGTCCATCGGGCGGCAATCTCCTCCGTCCGGTCCCTGGTGGCCTTCTGGTGGTCGGTGAGCCCCGGGGGGTCCTCGCAGTCCTCCGGGTCGTCCTCGGCGGGGCACGGCAGGCCGGCCGTGCAGTTGAGCGGCTCATTGCCCTCCGAGGACACACAGGAGGGTGACGGGAGCGGCGGTAGCTTCCAGGAGATGTTGGCCATCAGATCCGTCATCTGAAAGAACGGGAAGTAGAGGGTGGCGTCAGCAATATACATATTACACAGCGTCAGCTATGCTACGGGCTTTTTTAGAAGGAATTATGGGACAATGTTCACCTGCTGTGATTGAACTCGCTGTAACTGAACTGACTCACCTGCTGTCTGCCGGAGATGTGGGACATCAGGGGCGAGTATCCGTCCCTCCACGGCAGCACGGCCGTAACTAACTCCCCTGCCGTAACTATCTCACCTGTTGTCTGCCGGAGATGTGGGACATCAGAGGCGAGTATCCGTCCCTCCACGGCAGTACGGCCGTAACTAACTCCCCTGCCGTAACTATCTCACCTGTTGTCTGCCGGAGATGTGGGACATCAGAGGCGAGTATCCGTCCCTCCACGGCAGTACGGCCGTAACTAACTCCCCTGCCGTAACTATCTCACCTGTTGTCTGCCGGAGATGTGGGACATTAGAGGCGAGTATCCGTCCCTCCACGGCAGTGCGGCCGTAACTAACTCCCCTGCCGTAACTATCTCACCTGTTGTCTGCCGGAGATGTGTGACATCAGGGGCGAGTATCCATCCCTCCACGGCAGTACGGCCGTAACTAACTCCCCTGCCGTAACTATCTCACCTGTTGTCTGCCGGAGATGTGTGACATCAGGGGCGAGTATCCATCCCTCCACGGCAGTACGGCCGTAACTAACTCCCCTGCCGTAACTATCTCACCTGTTGTCTGCCGGAGATGTGTGACATCAGGGGCGAGTATCCATCCCTCCACGGCAGTACGGCCGTAACTAACTCCCCTGCCGTAACTATCTCACCTGTTGTCTGCCGGAGATGTGTGACATCAGGGGCGAGTATCCATCCCTCCACGGCAGTACGGCCGTAACTAACTCCCCTGCCGTAACTATCTCACCTGTTGTCTGCCGGAGATGTGTGACATCAGGGGCGAGTATCCATCCCTCCACGGCAGTACGGCCGTAACTAACTCCCCTGACGTAACTATCTCACCTGCTGTCTGCCGGAGATGTGGGACATCAGAGGCGAGTATCCATCCCTCCACGGCAGTACGGCCGTAACTAACTCCCCTGCCGTAACTATCTCACCTGTTGTCTGCCGGAGATGTGTGACATCAGGGGCGAGTATCCATCCCTCCACGGCAGTACGGCCGTAACTAACTCCCCTGCCGTAACTATCTCACCTGTTGTCTGCCGGAGATGTGTGACATCAGGGGCGAGTATCCATCCCTCCACGGCAGTACGGCCGTAACTAACTCCCCTGCCGTAACTATCTCACCTGTTGTCTGCCGGAGATGTGTGACATCAGGGGCGAGTATCCATCCCTCCACGGCAGTACGGCCGTAACTAACTCCCCTGTCGTAACTATCTCACCTGTTGTCTGCCGGAGATGTGTGACATCAGAGGCGAGTATCCATCCCTCCACGGCAGTACGGCCGTAACTAACTCCCCTGCCGTAACTAACTCACCTGCTGTCTGCCGGAGATGTGGGACATCAGGGGCGAGTATCCGTCCCTCCAGGGCAGCACGGCGGCCGCGATCACCAGGCAGATGCCGATGTTGTAGAGACAGCGGAACACCGTCACAGGGTGCGTCTTCACTCTGTGGTCGCAGAACGGAGGGAGGTCAGACGGCACAGAAGAGTTGGAACGCCGCCGGAGGGGTCGACCACATGTTGTGACCGTGTCCGATAGACGCCAGCAAAGGAGGCAAGCTTCCGCGTTTACGTCCGTCATTAACAGCTTAGATCAGAAAAAAAGCATCTAGCATCCAGCATATATCATCACCATCGTCTCTTGCAAGCAAACCTTGACCAAAGTATCGGACTGGTGAGTACTGATGGGGGATTGATTCGCTTCAACTAGCGTCCCTGATCCAGTCTGACCTGGTCTGAACCTAGCTGACCTTTACTCATGCTACTCTATGAGACCCTATTCGGTTGATCTCCCAACGTACCCGAGGCTGCAGGAGCGCTTCTTCTTCTGTTGTTTCTGCTCCGCCTGTCCGCCGGCCTTCTCATCCTTTGTCGGTTTTGGAGCGGTGCAGCAGCAGCGGCAGACGGGTGACATCGAGTTCAGCTTCTGCAGAAGGTAGCCCAGGTGCCGGTGGAGCCACACCCAGCCGGGACCGAGCAGGCCGCACAGGAGGCTGATAGATGGTCAATTGGTCAGACACAAACAGTCAGAGACTGAGACAGACCCAGCCGGGGCCGAGCAGGCCGCACAGGAGGCTGATGGAAAGTCAGACACAAACAGTCAGAGACTGGGACAGACCCAGCCGGGACCGAGCAGACCGCACAGGAGGCTGATGGATGGTCAATTGGTCAGACACAAACAGTCAGAGACTGAGACAGACCCAGCCGGGGCCGAGCAGGCCGCACAGGAGGCTGACCGAGAACCAAACACAGTCATCAGGTTCAAACAGGCCGATCAATTCAGGTCCCACCAGTTCACATTGCAGGCTGACAGAGAATAAAATACAGAGAGACTGAGCCAGACTCTCCTGGGCCCCAGACCCTTCCAGCCAGACCGAGAGCCCGGGCACCTTACAGTCAGCCTGAGACGCACAGCCAGGCCCCAACAGGCTAACGAACAAGGAACACAGTCACAGTCTGAACACGACTGAGACTGAAGCGGGCGCAGTCGACACAGTCTAGGACACAAATACATGCTGATGCAAATGACACTGGTAGAATGAACTACATACTTATTGTTAAAATGGTCATTACCCATTATGATTGTTGGATGGTAACTACAAGAAAAATGGAGGCGGAAAACATTTAGGTCTTTGTAGTGCTATGGTCACAAATGACAGTAACATTACGTCTACGTCTACGCTTTTATGCGTCCTTACATCCTCATTATATTTGTTCTTTTTTAGACACGTTGTTCAACTCCCCAAAATATTTTGTGACATGCTGCTGCGACCCCTGACGTCGCTCGCCACACACAAGTCTAACGGCCCACACGATGATCGACTGCTGGGTGTATTACCCGATGGCTATGGAGATGCCCAGAAACTCGAAGTTGAACGGCAGCGGCTCCGTGTAAGTCTCTTTGTACATCGGCAAAATGTCTGCAAAAAGCCAGTCGCACAACAATCAGCTCAGATTCCAAACAAGTGGAGCGGTGTAAAAGCGCATGCGCTATATAAAGATCGAAGAAGGGGTTAGAAACGTGCAGCGGCAAAACGACTGTTACCGGCCAGATCATCTCAGCTCACAACTACCTGGTGCAGATGTATGCATTCTACGAAAATAAAAAGTAAGCGTTTTCATGGCCTATTGACGATAGAAAATGTTTTTTGTTGAGTTAACTTATTTCAAGACAGATTTATTTATTGATGCAAAATAAAATATTTAGCAATTAATAACAACCAAGCACACCACAACCCTTAACCAGCTGCATAAAATCGGCCCAAAATTATGTCCAACAACAGAAAACAAAAAACATAGCCATCTACGCCGGCCCGGTACCAAATGTACCACCCAGTGCACCCTCAGCTACCCCACCGCCCCCGCCTGCCGCGGACGGCGGGCGGCGCCTAACCCACCTATTCCTAGGTACATCTGGGAGAGGCCCTTGTAGAACACGGTGCCGCACACCGCGGCGAAGAAGCCACGCCAGTAGTTGCGGACCGCGAAATAGGTGCGCGTCGCCTCGATACTAAACAGAACTCCTGGCCGGAGTCGTGAGAGACGAACAGAGTCAATACTGCGGGATACGCTTCTCGAAGTAGGCAAGTATCGATGCAATCAGAAGGTATCGCAACAAGTAATAATTGAGATCGACAATCCGAGGAAATGGCTAAAACAAAGTTACAGCTGTGGCAATATTCGCTGAACAGCTCTAGCAGCCGTCGTTTTTTTCTTTCAAAGCTCTAGTAGTTCGGCTAAACTTTATAACGTCTGCATGGACCACATCAACAGTAAAAGAAGGCGTTACATCTACCCCACGGTCATCGATACCACACAGCCATCGGCATCCACCCAGCCTCACCCCTCTCCCCTTGTCCACTAACCTCCTACTGGCGCTCCGTAGGTGACGGCCACACCGATGGTGCACGCGGCAGCCACCAATTCATTTCCAGTGTGTCGCTCCAGCTCCTCCACAGAAATGTCCTTGAAGATCTTGGTGATGAACAGCGCGAAAATGGCTGCGACATGAGTCATTGGACCCTGGGGAGACGGGGTCAGGTCAGGTCAGGTCATAATAGGCCAGGAGGGTAGCTGGGAACACTTATTGACTGAAACATGTTAATCACTGTAAATCATGACGGATCGCATCAGGACACCACAGCAGCCGGATGTCAGTCTGAGGCCGACTCAAAGCTCTGACAAGTTGACATGTCACGAGGTCCTAGTTCCATGGTGCGAGTTCGTTCGATGAGGTCACCGCCATTGAAAAGCCATCCGGCCATCGAAATTCAACACAGGAAAACAAACAGGGCGGCCCTGCGATCAAAGCTCGGTCTGGGAGAACAAAACAAACACAGGTCTGCAGCTGTGTTTGTGAGTCTCGTTGAGGCCGTCCAGAAGCGAAACACAGCGGTCTTGAGCCCATCGGTCACAGAGACCAGACAGAAGACAGAGGACGAGAGGAGATGGACTCACCTCTCGCCCCAGCGGCAGCGCCGAGCTGAGAATTATCGGCAAAAACACCAGCTTGCCCATACAGGTGAACGGCGAGAAGGCGTTCTCCATCTTGACTCCCTGCAGGTAGGCCTTGAGCTCGGGAAAACCGGAACCTGGCAGAGAGGACAGTGAGGGAACAGGGGAGTGAGAATAGAGAACAATGGAAGACAGTGTGAGTGTGCATTTACAGCAGACGGTGTGGCAGCGCATTGAAACGGGTTCTTCCTTGATCTTTGTTGTAAGACGATCAAGACGATCAATTAAGTGGCTCATAATTTTTATTGGTCGGGTATACACTAGTTAGGCGGCAACATTCTGTCTAGACCACATCAAGCACTTCTTAATTACTACCGGTCATATCATTTTGATCACGATTAACCGAATGGTCCAGACTTTAATGCATCCGGGAAAGCCCTAAGTCTGTCTGGTTTGGTGCAACGACTAAATCTATATTATTATTTGAGGAGGGTGCGTCTGTCCGTTACCGAGGTCCCAACTTGGTGGTGCTTTGCGTGGACTACAGGCCAGACCGTTGCACCTAGCCCGGTGAAATTTGCACAACTCATAGATCAAGGATGCGCGACGTGCCTTTGAGGGGTCTAGCACGCGCCACGTGCACCGGGGAGGGCACTTTTGTTGAAAAAATGCGGTTTTGGGCGGATTTTGGAATTGATTTTATTTTTAGGTGACCGTTAAACAGAGCGAGTTGGAACAACGCCTGTTGGCAAGAGAAATGTACCGCCTATCATATAAAAATTGTGAAAAGCTGATTGATCCAAATCAAGGTGGTACGAATCACGGGAGAAAATGGTGTTTGTCAATTTTGTGCCACTTTGTTTATCAAAATGGTTTTGCTCCATAATCTGATATCTTTGGCAGTTAAAAATGGCACCGTTGGAAAGAGCATTCAATTCTGTCCAAGGTTCAGTCTTTATTTTTGCATGATGAGCAAGAGTATTCTTAAAAATGTAAATGTTCCAAACCATTACATTGTCATTTTTAGCGAAATTCATCGATGGCCCTCAAAAGACTTCACGCCAGTTAGAACGCATGATAATACGAAACGGGCACCTCAATGCGATGGATCTTTTTTGTTCAATTACAAAATGTTTGGCCGTCATAAAACAATCGAACGAAATGGATACCAACCGAATCGACACGGGACCAACCCAACACCCACGGGTCAAACATTACCCTTCCTCGCATTGCGGAGCACGCGGGTCACCCTAGTATTCTCCATTTCACCTGCTGCGCTGTAAGTCCAGACAACAAAGACCCCGGTAAGGTGACGGGATGTTCCCCGGACTGAACCACATGTTCAGGAACTCCCGACAGATGACTGACAGGATAATGATGGACTGTCAAATGCCGTGACATGTGCTGTAACACGGGCGAGTCACTTTTCCTCTGGCCTGTCGTCTGATACGGCCACGGGCACCATTTAGTAGTTTCCCTTCACGGCATGGGACTGATAAAAATGTAGGAATATGGTAACATAGTCATGAAGTCTGGCTCCGCTGAACCTTGCATGTTGTGGTTAGTAGAGTTCGTCTAGTCTTACAAGTTACAAGTTTCCAAATTGGCCTGCCGACGTAGTTAATAACAATGAAACTTGTCTTCAGCTTCCTAGTATTACGACACTTGGCTTAAGGCCATCATCCGCGCCATGTCCTCCCATTAGCCCTGCAGGACGGTGTGCTCGGAGTAGTGCCGCCCTAGCCTCGGGATCAGGGCCCAGTTCATATAGAGCCCTTTTGCTGCTAAGGGACACTTATTGGAGAGGGGAACCCGACAGACTGGTTCATATAGCCACCCTTACACACCGGCACAAATGTTACCAAAAGTGTCCCTTTGAAAAGTGGCACTTTGGAAAAGTGACACTTGCCGACTGTCTTTTCTATATGAACTGGGCCCAGGGCACGGTCCGACCTTCAGCCGACCCATTTAGACCGCGCCGTGTGTGTGGCCGGGAGGTTTTCGGCGCACAATAGCGAGGTCATGGACGTAGAGCAGAATCCGCGCTCCGCGGCCCCAGTCTGGCGGCCAAGAGCTGTCACTGCGCGTGCAGTTTGCTGGCAAGGCACATTGGGCGGGGGCTGAGCCAAGTCAAGAACGGCCGATTGATGAACATTTTTGTGCTGTTTTGCCTATAACGGAAGACAAGAGCGGCATGCCATAAATCCTGGGCTGTCCAACCTTGGTCGAACCGTCCCACGCTGGGCGCTCAGCGCAGGTCGGCCGCTATCTGGTTTTATCTGGTAGCGGGCCCGGCCTCTACGGCCGTTTGCCTGTTCTGTCAGTACAAGACGGAACGGTCACGGGTCATATATCACCCATTTCAGGGAGTATTCACTCCGCATATCCCACAAAATGTAATCTGTGCACCACTGCACACACACAGGTTTAGGCGTAGCGGATAAACGGTTGCCGATATACCGAGAGTGATCAATCAAAAGACATCTACTACGTGACTGCACTCAACATGTGGTTGTATGACGTAGGAGAACGTCATAGCCGTCGGACAACCCAACTCAAAACCGGTAGATAAAGCTGAAGTTTTCGACGCCGGGACTGTTTCCGACCTCTCATTACCCTTCACGTCTCATAAATCCCCACGGTGAGCTTGACTGTTGCTAGGCACGCATTGACTTCCCAATCCACTTCCGGACGACAACAGTAGCGGACACGTGAAGCATAGCGCGTGAGACCGTGACGGTGCACTGGGATCGACGACTGAGCCCCCCCCCCCGACATTGGGAGCCGCGCCTCACCGGTCCATAATTCACGGTCTCCACGAGGCGCGCGGTCACCGCCCACCGCCTGTCAGTCACCCGGCGCTGAGCCGGCCCGGGCGGGGAGGGAGGTCTGCTATTACCGAGTGTGGTGGGTCACACGGGAACAGGTGGAAATCGGCCAGCGCGGCCAGCAATAGACTGCAGGCGTGGTAACAACCGGGCCCTGTTCCTAGAACTGACCGCCGTGGTTTGGGGTAGTTCGTTGAATCAGTGCAATGGAAGGGTGGCTGTGGTTGTCGGGGCGGGGGTGGAGGGACCACAACATCCGGTGAGGGCGGTCACCGGGGACATTTAAAGCTAATAAATTATGTTTTGTATGTCCGTAGTAGATGGCTGAAGGCACGTTAACAGCAGCCGTCTCGCTGGCTTCTCTGTTGTTGTTTTTAGCTACATCATCAAGCTAAATCAACTAAGCTGCCAGGTGTTATGCGTATCTTGGCAGAAGGTTATTCATATTGGCAGCCCACGGAGAGACAGATTTCTATCCTACCAACACCGTTTCAACGTCCTGCCGACAGTCGGAATGACTTAGGCTTCGTCTGGCTTAGACCTGTCGCTGAATGATGGCATTAGCAACATCGCCGAGGGGCAATGAAGAAATGTCAGGTGGACAGAGAACTGTGTGTGAGTCAGTTGAGCCTCTCACTGGCGTTTTTTCTCACCCTAGCGTGTCGCTGGTATCGAGAGCGTGAGAAGTGAGATTACGCACCTCACAAAAACCCACCACCGGGGCAGAGGAAAACGGGCAGGCATATTGCCACAAAAAGCCCGGGCTTGAGCAGCAATTGGAACAAACCACTGGAGTGGTGCTGATAGTGGCGATAATCCGGCAACAAAAACGCACAGGCGATTACAATTAACTCAAGCACGGAACCTCGGAACAGCAATAAACGACTACCAAATACCGAACGAACGCCATTCGCCTTGAGCCGGCGTAATCAAGGGTTGTTTCGGCTCCACCAAGAAGGGTATCGCCAGGATGCAATGCTGCTCAACAGTGCTCTTTTCATGGATAGGTGCCTACGCCAGTTGCATAACGGTGAAGGTCACTACGACTCGTTTGTCTACCGGTATCCCGATAGGTACTGGGCTGATATGACCCATTGGTGATGTTACAAAACTTCCAAGTAACTCACCTGCGGCCGTCGGTATGAACCAGGATAGCGTCAGGGCCACGATGATAGCAATGCCCGCCGTCAGGATGAACCAGGTGATGATCTGAGCTGCCAGTCCCTGGGCAGCCATGAATGCCGCCAGCCGGTCTGCAAAACGAGACGTCACACTAGGTCAGGTCAAGTGGATGGGGTCAGGGGCTACATAAATGGGCGCGCGAGGCTGCTAAGTCGCCAGGTAGCATGACAAGAAAGAGTTTGACCGATTTGGTAAGAGAGAGGCTATTAATCCATTGGCTCAATTGGGTATTACACATTTAACTAGGACCATATTTGAGCAAAATGCTGTCTGTAGGTCACAGTTGAACCCACGGCATTCCAACACCACGTCATAGCTGCTTCACTGCGTCGATGAATAGATTCTTCTGTGACACAACACGTGGCGCGTAATCAGCACACAGGTGGCCTTAATTTCGTGCATAAAACGCCTGCGGGTCAGTGACCCGGTCAGAGAGGCCGTGCCAGCCCGGCTGTAGTAGTATCACCAGCTGGGTTTGCCAGCCGGGCGTTCAGCCAAACGCCGTGACAGGGCAGGTATATGAGCTCCCACCGCCCCCGGTCCATCCCCCCCCCCCCCTGCAGACAGCAGGCGCAGGTGCCAGGTGTCTGCAGCCTAATGGCATCTCCACCCCACCCCATCCCGATCCCCACGGCCCCCGTAAGCCTGTTGACTGCAGCAGATTGAGCGACCCCCGCTCGCCGCCAGCAGCCGATCTCAGAGGTCCCCCGTGCAGGTTCTGGTTGAATCGCGATCGACAAGTGAGCACTGCCGACAGTGATGTGGGTTCTACGTCAGAATGACGTTACAGAGGAGGAGTAGTGATGTCAAAGCCATGTGGTGTAGGGGGGGAAGGGGGTAGTGTCTGCCTAGTTGTCTGGGGATTGCAGGGGACGTGGAAGTGGATACGGGTACCACCATGCGACGGAGGACACGGGCTGACTGATGACACCTGTGCCGTGGCAGCCCAACACCTGCACTTAGCCACTGTAGACAAGTCTGCCTGCCAGTGCTATTGGCTGTTACTTCTCTGTAAACCGAGCTCGGCAGAGCAAGACCAGGACTGATCAGACTTGGGTTGACACAGTCAAAGCGCTGTAAATTTACCTTAAAGGGACACTCCCACCTTAACATTAGTTTTGAGTTGAGATAGCCAAATTGGTGGCCATGGCCTGCAAATACCGGTTTGGGCACTCACAACATCGACAAATGCTTTAATTCGGAGATATGGAATTTCAAACTTGCAGTTTTCGGATTCTAAGGGGCTAGTGCATTGGTATGCCCCCTTAGAATTTGTGACGTCAGCGGAGATCTAACGATTTTTAAATCTTTTACTAAAACGTTTGGTAGCACGCGGTGGTATATGCTGCTTTGCGCGCAACAAATGCCGCACTTTCAAATAAAGTCGCTAGGAACAGCGGAGATCCCAAAAAGTAAACAAAAGTAAAAGTCTAATATCTTGAAAACCGGTGAATATTTTTCGATGAACATTGGTAGATATTCGTTTTCGCTCTTTCTGAACCGAGCGACATCACTTTCGTGCCAATTCATTAACTTTTTTGAAGGTGGGAGGGTCCCTTTAAATGCTTGATAAACGACTCAACATCCACTCCGGCAGGTATTTGATCCATGAGTCGGTGAAGGAAAACCTGTTATATCCGGTTGCAGTAGAGGATATCACGATATCATGACCGTGCGACACGAGCCCAGAAAACCTGATACAATGATGATGTAAGATTCCCGGGCTCGTATGACCGAATCGTTTTCTCAGAAACAGCAATGTCCAATGACGTCGCACAAATGTATCCCAGTGGATTCATTCGTAGCCGTCGTAAAAAGTTCATTTTTGTTGTACCTACTTGCTACAGCCAGCAGTCTGACCAGACGCGAACTGTTGTAAGGAACAGGTACCAGTTGTGCACACGAGAAAACCGCTCCAAACTGGATGACACATGCGATATAGCATGGTTTGTGTGCTAAACGTCATCGGTATGAAAAGGGTCGGGGAATTTCCGATATAACAGTGATGGAAAATTGAGCCCAGACATCCGACTCAGAAGCAGGCTAATGTGGCTGCGTCATTGTAGAATCTGCAGACAGTTGGGCTATAATTGCATCGTGACGGCATATGGTAAAGTGAAAACGGCTCGGCGACTGCCCCAGGCTCTGAAGAATCACGATGGGCGGTCTGAGGGGGGCCACGGGCGGGATAGGGAAACGGTACGGTCAGAGGCGAGAGAAAGGCAGCGGAGGTGCGGCAGGTGGGGTGTGACACATCACGAAGATGATCGGGGAGGAGAGGAAGAGAGTTGGCGGAGAGCGGTTCGCGCCCTTGGAACTCCTCTCCGTTGTATCAGCTAGCTGGTTTTATCGAGACATGGAAAAGCGTGAAGAAGAACAGGGAGGATAAAGGAGGAGAAAGTGAACAGAAAGGGAGAAGGAAATGAGGCAAGAGAAATGCAGACCCCCGGCAGAGCTGGCAGGACACCTTCCCTTCCCTTCTCCCTAGACTCTTTTGATGATGAGACCGGGAACACCCAGCTGTTCCTAGAGTAGCGAGTAATGACTACTAACCCATCTGATTTCCCAGAAACGTGACTCCGCGCCCAGCTGATTCCAGTTTTATCCCGGTAGGTCATTGCTCAAAGCTATCCACTCTGCAGTCTGCATTATTTCTACATGATTTGTGTTTCATGATCCAAGTGTTTTGATACGATTCCCCATGACCGACTGCTAATCAAGCTACAGCAGTACTGCATTGACACCCGATGGTTTACCAGCTACCTGTGTGACCACTACCAGCAGGTGTCGGTCCGCCTACCTGATGGTCGAGCTGCGCTCTCGAGCCCTATGTTAAACCCTATAGGAACCTATCAAGGATCCGCCCTGGGGCCCCTCTTGTTCAACATCTATGCCAACGATATGCCGCTTTTTCTGACCGATAATGTCTCTCGTGACCGATGTTTGGTGCAATATGCTGACGATGTCCAACTGGCGCTACTAGGATGCCCTCGGGATGTTGCCACGCTAGTGAATCGCATCCAAGAGGATCTGGTCACCCTCTCAACTTGGCTTGGCAAAAACGGACTGAAAATCAACGCAGAAAAGACGCAATGAATTGTAATTGGAACTAAGCAAGGTCTTCGTAGCCTTCCACCGATCACGGTTCGCTTCATGGGTTCCAACATTAACGGGTCTCGTACTGTCAAAAACCTCGGTATCACGTTTGACCAGAGCCTCACGTTCATCGATCATGTGACTGATGTGGCGCGCCGGTGCACAGGTGTTCTGAGTGGGCTGAGTCACTGCCGGCACGCCCTTCCGAGAGAGACATTGACTACGCTGGTGCAGGCGCTGGTTATGTCTTCCGTACGCTATTGCATCAGTGTATACGGCGTGTGTGGCGCAATGCAACGGGCCCGGCTGCAGAAATTGATCAATTTTGGAGCTCGGGTGATATCGGGTCGGCGGAAATACGATCATATAAGTGATGTCATTAGGGAGCTGCAGTGGCTGTCGGCGGAGAACCTGTGGCGCTATCACTCACTGAGCATGTTGAAGCGTATGATGCACACAGGGCAGCCGGAGTCGCTGGGAAATAGAATTGTGACTCGTGGAAGCATTCACGGCCGTGATACAAGGCAGACGGACTCACTTGAAACACCGGCAATACGTACCGAGTCCGGGCGCCGCCGGTTCCTGTACTCGGCTGTATCGGAGTACAATGCCTTGCCCCAGGATCTCCGCGACCTGGGCCCTCGTCAGTTTAGTGCCCACTGCCGCAGCCATCTGCTGAGAGTGCAGAATGGTGAATAGTTGAACTTGCAATGTGTGATGTGTACTGTGCAGGGATGCGTGGCTTGTGGTATGGATGTTCGTATGTGCATTTTAGAACTTTCCCATCCGTCCGTGTTTTACTTTTTGGACTCGACGCCAAGAATAGCCATTATTTGTATATGGAATGGTTTGTCATGAAGTCAATACATACATACATACATACATACATGAGTCATGACCTGAGTCTTGAGTTTCTACACTCTCTTCTAACACCATGACCCGTTTTGCAGTCCCCATAGGAGCCACGGAGTCCAGGTAACCCAGTCCGACCCCGTGACTCCACCAACGGCTGTTACCCCGAGTCTCAACCGAAGGTCACAAATGACCGTCCCGCATGGGTGACCGCCGTCTCCATTGTCCGACGTGATTCACCAACCACTGCAGTGTCCAGCGGTGCGAGTGGGCCGCAGGCCGGCCACCTACACCAGTCAGCCACCAGGGAGGGGACCGACCGACCCCGCTGGCCGACCGCCCACCATCCGGCCCGCTGTCTCCGACCTGCCGGCCGGTCCGTTTACGGCATTGGACGCGTGATGGAGCGCTCGGCACGTGACCGGTTGAAGCGTCATGGGACCGCTGGCCAGCGGTTACGTAGTCCTGATAATGTTGACGCATGATTCGTGTCACAGATCGGGTTCGAGGTTTTACTTAAATCACAGCTGAACATGCGTGCCGCGTACCGAGTCGATTCGGTACACGTTGAATGTTGACGTCAGATAAATACTCGAACGGTACTCACAGCGCTGCATGGAGCTGACGAAGAGGTCGATGCCGAACGAGTAGAGACCCATCAGACTGCCGAGCAGGAACAGAAACAGCCAGTCCTCGTACCGGCCGCGGGTGATTTGCCGCAGCCACTTGAGCACCGACGACGAGCCTGCCCGGTGGGGACGGGCGTGGGTCAGCTGAACTCACAAGCAGATCAACTGCGAGTCGAGAGAAACTAGCTCATGACCAAAACGTGTGTGGAGGGCAACATAAGAAACACAATTTTTCATGCACTACCATGAGAATTATCTGGAAAAAATACTTCTCTGCGCACCCCATGTCCCTCCTCAATGTGTTATTAACAACCTATGCTTAGCAATGTTTGTAAAAAAAAAAATATCTGGTCCATTTAAGACCCACTTGTAAGGCATTATTACTACGTCATATAGAGGACATGTGGTCAGAACTATGCCTATAAATAATATTAACTTCCGCCACGTCATCAGCCTCGTAAACATTCAGCGATCATTGGTTATTGGTGTGACTAGAGGGTATGTTGACGTTGCTGATGATCACCAGCTGTGCTTTATACCGACAGAGACGTGCCACATGGAGCGGAGAGCGCAATGTAAACACCTACTCACTTACTCAGTCCCCCCTTATGTCCTCCTCCTCAGTATACATTTACATTAGGTGCCATGGGCATTGGGTAATCGACTTATTTGTCACAACATACGAGTCATGATAGCCAACAATCTGTTCAACATGACGCCATCACTGTGGACGATTTTTCTCCCCACCCCATCCATCAGTCCCATCCCGCCCCATGCCATTCCATTCCATTCCATCGCCGATTCCATCATATGCCTACCTCTCTCATCCTACCCCGCCCCGTCCCATCACCGACAGTCACTAGTCCCTAACCAGGGTCTGTTCATGGGTTTACGGTCTGTTCACGGTCCCTCCCCTCACACACACTCACGGTCTGTCCATGGTCCCCCACTCACGGTCTGTGGCCCTGTCGAGCCAGTTCCTCCTGCCGGTCCCCAGTGTGGGGTAGCCGAGGTCCTCATTGAGCTCGTCCTCCACAGTGTCCTCATCTCGCGAGCTGAGCCGCTCCAGCAGCGGCGCCTGGTGCGGCGAGATCGGCCCCTGGGGAGAGAGGCGGGGAACGTCAGCAGGGGGTGGTACTGAGGTCAATATACCCTGACTGAGGTACTGAAGGAAGGTCAGCAGAATGGGACCGAGGTGTACTCGGCGACTCCATTCTGCATGCATGCCTCAGCTCATCGATGACGTGAAGGCTTAAGGCTAACCACTAACCAGGACAGGAATAAACCCAGACAGAATGAGCATGGGCAATGGGCATCCTGCAGCCATATGACAGTCGTGCTCCACGACTTCGTGTTTTGCGCAGTTACGGGTAAGCCCGTTCACAATCACGTCTCTTAGCCCATGGATCGCATGTATTAGTGGTCATACAGGTTGTGGTTCCCGAATCATGCTTGCTGTCTTCCACAGTCGCCCAAGGTGACCTTGCTATAGTGCATGACTGGCAACTATGTTCGTATCCAATGACGGTGGGCAGTGGGCACCCCAAGTATCGGGCCCACGCCGAGGTGTCATACGTTATACACAGCTACGGTGCAGAGGCTAAAAGGGCCATTTTTATCTAGTACGTGCATCGACGGACGAGAAATGTACCAATGCCAAGTGCGGTAACTCGATGCCATGGGAAAAACTTCTCTCGCGAAAACGGAACATAATGCAGCACGACTCGCACGTGACCGAGGGAGAAGACCGAAAAGACACGACGGTCGACCGACACCCACCCACAGCTGAAACCTCGGCACGGTTCTCAGCACCCCCCGTCCTCGTCAGCTCCCTCCCGGTTTGCGGTTTCTTCTATATCCTTTTCTTTGTATCACTTCCTTCCTCTTTCCCAATCCCGTTATACATTGCTCAATTTGCCATCATGAATGACGAAAACGGACAGCTTCCAGTAACACCACTGCGTCGTGGGCTTTGTTGGGACCAAATTCCAGAACGCCGAGAGCGGTCAGCCTTCCGCAACTGAGCTCTACATCCACCGTCGCATATTTCCCAGTCATGCAGTAATGCATTCGGCGAATGGCGACCACTTCCTCTTTACCGGTACGAAAGACGTGGGACTTTGCGGATTAACCATGACTCCCGCTTTCGTGAGCCGTGAGGTCGACTAAAAACTCCCGAAAGTGTTCCACTCGCGTCTCCAGCTTGGATCACGCCCGTTACCACTAGTCCATCGTGATCGTTACGTCACGACTTTGGCCGCTACTTGACGACGGTGAGCGATTCGTGACGCCCCTCCGTGACTCGTGGTTCATGACGCTCCTCCGTGACGCTCATCCGTGACGCGTGGTTCGTTACGTGACGACGCGTCTTTTGACCCCGCCTTGCGTGCCCACCTGTCTGACAGCACCTGTGGCTCTGTCGGACTGCCAGCTGGCCGGGAGGGGGGAGGGGAGGACCTGGTCTGGTCCGGTCCGGTCCGGTCCGGTCCAGTCTGGTACGGTCAGTGACAGGCTATTACGTCATCACGAGACATCGACTCGTATCAGTCCGCCTCGGTACGCACTGAGCGGACGGAGACCCGGAGACCGGACTGGGACCGGAGCCACACACAGCAGCCAAGGACGACCGGACGTCCGGGGTGGAGACGGCTGATGACCCCGTGGTTAGCTGCACTCGGAGGGAGAGGTACGGCGCTAACCATCTGTGATTTGTAACATGCATTGAATGGTGTAAACAATATAGTGCAGTCGGACATCGGCAACACCGACAACGCTGCGCCCAGAGACGGGGAAAGATATGTATGATCAGGCACTAACAAAGGATAAGACGAATTTGACTCAGCTTTGATTGGCTGGAAACGTTCGTTCGTTCTGTGCCAGCTTGAGTAACAATAGCAGCATTATCTCATTCAATGGCCCCATCGCCCTTAGATCGTGTAATCCATGATCATGAATTTACGGGTCCATCATCAAAGAAATCGAAGGAAATGCGCAAGTGACACATATTCCCGTCTATTAGGAGTAAGCTGGTGCAATTACGGGAGTAGCCGGTGGAATGATATGAAGGTGGTCACTGGTCAGCAATCAACATATTTTAACCTTTCTTTTGGAAAACATAACTTACAAATGTCCCCCAATAATGTTTACCCGACTGAACAATTTTATTGACCCATTTGACAGGCACGTACGTCATTCGCCAAGTTTTGCAAGACACACATGAGCCGCACAACACACACGTGGGACTCACGTGTGCAGTGTGCAGCTTCACACCCGACGAGTGTCGTAGTAACACCGTATCACACCGTATCACGCCGTATCAAATCGCCTATCTGGGTCGGCAACGGTCAACATCAGGCCGTATCGGACCACCTCGGAGCATGGCAGCAGGCGATTACCGGTCGTGGCCGAGATACCGGGAGAGGACGTTACGACAGGCGTGGGTCGTCCATAGACAGTGGAAGACCGTCCAGTGGACAGTGGTGCCGGGTTATGGACTTTACTCAACGTTGCTCCGATTCACACGACACACATCCCTGGGCCCAATCTTAAAAAATGCCGTACTATTTTATTCACGGCGTTTGGTAACATTTACAGTGATACCAGTGCTAACAAACGGTTATCCGAGTCGGTTATCCGAGTGTTCGCCGTTATTGACTCGGTGTGTTTTGACTCTGGCTCGCTGTAATCATGTTCGGTCTCAATCTGACTTATTGCTGTAGCTAGCTCTGAATTTGAATCCAGCTCACACTTGATGCTGAGGAGAGCCAGTTGACATGTGGCCGATAGCGATCCCCTCTCAGCCGCCGGGTAAAGTGGTGACATGGTATCACCCGGCAGAAGTACCCAGCTGGTCTCTGCTCACACGTGCTACCCGTCACGTCCGTCATAACGGCGTCACGAAATCGTCACGGTAGCGTCACATGGGCCGGGACGAGGCTGGCAGCCATCCAGGCCGGCCGGGCGGTAACAAGCAGCGGTGACATATGTCGATAAATGCATGTAAACAATGAATCACTTTCAATGTAATTGATATGACCTGAGAGGTGATGACTAAACGTGCATTACACAGCCAGCTGGGTGGGATTGGATATCAAGTAGGTATTGCATTCGGGGCTGTTGCTACCGGCGAGGTGTCCCAGATGGCAGCTGTAACCTGCACAGAGGTCTCGATGTGTTGATATGACGCGATCTAGCACGTCATCGAGCGACAAGAGTACATATAAGCTGGCCGCTGTTAGCTGTTACTGGAGAGATAACGTCACTATCCCTGGGTTATGGAGGATTACAACAGGGCAACAAAGTTCCACACTGCACAGCACACAGTCCATCGGACCGGCTGTGTGGCCAGCCGTGGACTCAAACCTCCACAGCTCCTTGAAACCCAGTGCTATGAAGTAATCTTTGTGCTATGTGGGCAGCTTGCTCTTCCAGGGTTCGGGGGTGGATTTCTTAGATTTCTCAGAGCCTCGGAGCCCGTCGGTATGTGAGTTTGGTCGACCATGCCCCGTGGCACGCCCATGGGAATGAAGAACTGGACAGTGGACTCTGTGCCAAAATGTTCTGCCGAGGGTCTGTCTTTCCTCCTAGAAGCCGGCAGAGCTGGCAATGTGTGCTCTACCCACACTCATGCCGCCAGGCCCCAGCCCGTTGACACTGCAACACATGGCTCGCACCACGCGGGTCGGGTCGCAGCCAGCCCAAGGTCATTGTTACCAAAACAGTGCCGTGGGAGGGAGGGGGTCAGGGACCGGACCGGCGACCTTGGAAATGGGTCACTGGCCTCCACTGGTCTCGAGCGTAGCCGGATATATCCGGTTCACGCTATCTATGGGTGAGACAAGGCTGCATGAACATCACAGGCGGAAACACTGCAGCTGAAACAACCGGGCCGCTGACCACTGGCAGAGCAGACAGGAAGCGAGCCCATCCGGAGCTGCGGATAGGATAGTAAAGTGATGCAAGCAGCAAGGCTGGAACACATGGGACCCCGGGTCCCGCACTGGCCGTATGTCTCAAATCGAATGGATTTGAGTTTGAGCGCAAAACAGGCTTCAGTCGGGATCAGTAAAGCTGTACTTGTTTCGAAAAGACAGCGTCTGTTGCACATCTCCCAGTGCACCGGTAACAATATGGAAGCAACTCCCCCTCCCCCCCCCGCTCAGTGCTCGTCGTCGCCGGTAAATCCGCCGAGTGCCTTTCAGCGTCCTCTCCGATGACCGATCGCCGACCGGTTTTGCTCCGTCTGTGGCGACTGGCGACCCACCCGGGCAGGTGACTCCGTTGTTATCCATACTCTTTCCCTATCCGAATTCCGTGATTGCTTTTGATTTTGCAAAGCGATTGAGTCTATATAAAGGACTGTTGAGCCTGGAATTTGAATGCATGGCTTCCGAATGTGCGATTGGGTTGGGAACTAGGAGCTTGGATCTTGGTACGCCAGTCGTCGTCGGCTGTTGGTTTGGGAAAATTGACACATTAAATTTCGAACAATGCGAGGTATCCATCGACCACCAACACGCGCACGTGCCATTAGTCTCACCTAACTAACTACTCCTTCACTGAGACAAATCAATCCATGATATACTGACAATTCATCCAACGCGCACCAGGCTGAAGACTGAAACTGCAGCACAAATCACAGCAGAATCTGGCCTCACCTCTTTGCCGTCTCCCCGAGCCATGGCTGTCGGCATGGGAACACTCCTCTCTATCACCACCACCAGTTGTTGCACACGTGCATCAGAAACGCTCACACGGACAGCGACAGAACCGCTGCGTCCCACACTCGCGCCACAACTGACGGCGCGCGCGCGCGTCGACTCGCGCCCAGCTGCGGCTGCGCTACGAACGCGCGCGGCGGCGGCTACTTTGGGCTGACGGGCGCTGCGGCACAGCATCTGCCCCTGCCGACCAGCTGAGCGCCGGCATTGTGCACCCGATCAGACCCGATAGGCGATACTGGAACTAAAATCAATGTTTTTCTCAGCAGAAATGTATTGTATGCACGTACCAACGATTTTGTTCACAGTTGTTATTGGGAGAATGTTCAACAAATCAGAGGAGTGTTCAAATGGAATTGAGGTGCAAGTGCACAATACCAGTGTTCATGGAAAAGTACAAAGCGGTCCGTCCCATTGCTGGTGGGTCGTGGGACGATAATTTACGGCCGGCCTCAGATGCCAGGGGTAGGAGGGGAGTGAACCCCTGATTTTCCCTGGAGGGACAGATCTTTGTTAGCTTAGGACAAGGCATTGTTGGCTACAGGAACGTAGACCGGACAGCCAAGGGATGTTTTTACGAGCACTTACGGAACGGGCAACGGTTCGTCGGACCACTGCACTGACGAGCTGGGACGTACCCAGGATTTCGCCCAGGAGGGGGCCACCTGCTTTCGAAGGGGCCCCCAGGTCACCCGGGGGCCCCCGGCCCCCGGGAGTCATGCAAACCTTTCGATGGGGGGGGGGGGCATAGTGGGTCCGGTCTCTCCTGCAGACGTAGGTGAGAAAACGCCACGTGTGTGGGAAAATGCAATTCAGTTCTTTACAACCTAATGTAGCATTTGGTTGTGATTTCTCGCGCGTTCAACTTCATCAAAAGTCAATTAAAACGGTATCTGTAACGGTCTAAGCCTTGAGAAAATGTGGAAAATTGGAAAGCAAAAATATTTTTGCTTGAGGTGTGTGCATGAAACGCACAGCATTTTATGAGCGAGCGCCTCAATTACCGAACATCCTCCAAATTCCAATTCCGGATAATAGGTACCTATATACTATAACAGTGTGGAATAAATATCTCGTTATCGGAATTCCACTTTCTGGCAACTAGCCCTATGTAAACGCGGCTATTATATGTTTCACTCATAGAGATCTTATATACCTACATATATAATCTAAATAATAACTAATGTATATAAGATCTCTATGGTTTCACTAGGAATCGAGCGCAATTGTAGGTACTTTTAGCCAGAAAATAAATGCTTGGGTAATTCTGAGACACCCTGTACCTATTAATTGGAGGAATAGGACTTAGGAGGAAATGCGATAGCAAATCGGCCCACATCCCTGTGTTAGCCAATGACGCCTTTGGGGCCAAGGTTGGGGGATATTCAGTTTAGCCTCTTTGTTTTTCTATGATATCTCCGGCACCGTGAAAGATATTGGCTCCTTCAGATGAGTGGCTACTCCAGTCTCTACTTAATCCAGTAGCCAGTAGCCACTCAGATGATTTGGGATCAATCAGGTGATAAGCGTTCTTTCAGACGACCAGGGGCCCCCAGGCGACCAGGGAAGCCCGGACGACCAAGCCCCCTAGGCGACCAGGGGACCCGGGAGACCAGGGGCCCCCAGTCGACCAGGGGCTCCCAGGCGACCAGGTCCCCCAGATGACTAGGGGCCCCAGGCGACCAGGGCCCTCCAGGCGACCAAGGGCCAATGCGATCAGGTCCCCAAAGCGATCAGGGGCCCACAGGCGACCAGGGGGCTCCCATGCGACTAGGGGGCACCATGCGACCAGGCCCCCGGCTACCAGGGGCCCCCAGGCGACCAGGGGTCCTCTAGGTGACCAACGGCCCTCAGGCGATCAGGGGCCCCCAGGCGACCAGGGGATCCCAGGCGACCAGGGGCCCAAGGCGACCAGGGTCCCCCAGGCGACTAGGGGCGACCGGGGGCCCCAGGCAACCAGGGGCCCCCCATGCGACCAGGCCCCCCGGCTACCAGGGGCCCCCTGGGCGACTAGGGACCCCCAGGCGATCAGGGGCCTCATGCGACCAGAGGCCCCCCATGCGACTAGGGCCCCCTAGGCGACTAGGCCACAGACTATCAGGGGCCCATACGACCAGGCCCCCGGCCATCAGGGACCCCTAGGCGACTAGGGGCCCCCAGTCGATCAGGGGCCCCCATGAGACCAGGCCCCCGGCTACCAGAGGCCCCCTAGGCGACCAGGGACCCAGGAAACTGGGGGCCCTTGGATGACTGCAGGGGCCCCTCGGGTAACCAGGGCACATAAATGAAACTTTAATATCAATTTTTCTTCCGAGTAAAAGACGTTTTATCCAGTGTTTAAAAAAATATCCTGGGGCCTGAGGGGCCCCCTGAGCGCCTTCGGCGCTCAGGAGGGGGCCATGGCCCCCGTGGCCCCCCCCCCCTTGGGTACGTCACTGACTGACGAGCTCGGACGTTGAAGGGGTTGAAGGGGACGTTGAAGCAAGAGCTTCGAAAGTAAGAATTAGATGACAACGCGGACTAATGACAACCAAAGCACCTATAGCCATGCCTGCAACAATTTTCCTTTATGGCAGCACAGGCACTAACGTAGTGTCCGACGAATTACAAATGGGACATAACATCCCGGTGGTACCGCCCCCCACCCCTCCGTCCCCCATCCGCATTCCGCCGTCTCTGCAAGGGAAAAGTTCGTTTGTTTCGTTCGCATTGAATACCGTCAACTTTCAATGCACCCTCAAATTTCACCTCTACGCCCCGGTTCAGGCGCGTGTTAGAGCACCAATCACAGAGCTGGGGCCTGGCCCCGTGACTGGGCGGGACGACGCGGCGCCACGTGATTGGCTGAGCCCCGACCTCTGACCCCGGCCGCGGCGACCGCTCGGGGTCGAGGAGGCCGCTGCGCCGGTCGGGTCGGGTCAGTCGGGTCACGGGGTCACGGGGGTGGGGGCCCGGTGAAGGGGTGGTGTGCTTCGGCTGTGTAGGGAACGGGAGGGCCCCCGAGGATTCCTGGATAGGCGAGCAGTCAACCACCAGGTAAGAAATTGTGGTGGACTACATTTCATGCTGGAGCATAGATGGAGGGTCATGACAAAACGATACGGCATTTGTAGCCAACTTAACACTTTTGTGCCTTCTTTTTTATCTTTTAGATTCGAAGTTTATTAGAAAAGCAATAAGTGTTCGTGGCAGCGGGACTCCCGCTACATTTTTTCCCTGCTCTTATACCGACGGGTGGTATTTCACCTTTCCTGGTAGCTTTGTAATAGAGATACCGCAGGTTGTTTTGAAAATCAGACAAACACTTCGTTAGTAACGAAAGGAAAAGAGATAAAACTGCAAATACTTCATGGATATCAGATATGGTCCTTGTCCCCTGACAATGCATGATGCAATCGAATACTGAACACTGAACAGCCTAACCATATATTTCCCCTCTCGGCTCTCCCTCTGGCAGAGGTATCAGCAGCCACGGACACGGTCACCACTGCACCTGCCAGCAGCCATGGCCCCCGTGCCGTCGTCGCAGCTAGGCGCGCAGCCCGCAGCGCCGTCTGCCCAGCCCGCAGCGCCGTCTGCCCAGCCCGCAGCGCCGCCCTCACAGCCCGGGGTGGCTCCCTCACAGCCCGGGGCGGCGTCCGCGATGTTCCCCGAGGGCGAGTGTGACCTGCAGGACGCGGTCCGACCCTCTGATCGGTTCGTCGTCACCGTCCACACAGGAGACCGGCAGGTGGGCACAAATTGACACAAGCGGCACGATAAAAATACAGGTGTTGATAAGGATTGCATTTTATGCCAAACGAGTTAAAATCGTGATTATGAGTTGAGAATTTAGGTGTTAAATCTAAAGCTAAGCGTTGACGTATTATGTATGATTCTGCAATTTAAAGCCTGAATGCACTAAAACCTAGAATTTGAACAAGATGCGTTAAAGGAAGTGATTAAAAGCATATTGCGGACAACGGATTTAGAAGAAAAGTTTCGAATAGTTTGCCGGCAAGAAACAAATTTCGCCAATAAATATTCAACATTCCCCGTTTGTTTCCCTACAGAAGGCCTGGTCGGGCGGTGCCAGCGAGTCGCACGTGTTCGCCCAGTTCCGGGACGCCGCCGGCCGGGACAGCCCGTTCTTCAGCCTGCCCTACCTGTCCAGCACCCGGCCGGGCAGCGTCGACTTCTACATCCTGCCTCACGTGAGCGGTCTGGGGGCGATCGCCACCCTTCTGCTGCGGCGCCGCGGCCGGCAGGACGGCGACGCCTGGCTGGTGGACGCCGTGGGGGTGACCGACCGCCGGCTGCGGCGGCGACACGTGTTCCCCGTGCACCGCTGGCTGGAGGCCGGCTTCCAGATGCGGCTGGACGAGTTCGACTGCCGCCTGCCGCAGGACGTGATGGACAGGGAGATGGTCACCCAGCGCGCCAGGGAACTGGTCGACCGGCGGGCACTCTACGAGTACGCCCAGATCTTCAAGGAGGGGCCCGTGCAGCTCTATTATGAGGTGCGTCCTGCGAGATTTAGGTGTTCAGAAATGGTATCCGGTATACACAGTGATAATGACCGCTTTATATGCTAAGTTAAATGATTCCGCTTAGTGACCGTTTCGAAAGAAGTGAATATACGGACATTTCCTGGTCGTGAGAAGCTGTCTCCTCCAAGAAAAGAACGATGACCCAACTATTTGGTTCTGTTTCAGGATGATGATCTGCCGTTCGAAGAGTGTCCCTCTTTCATTGAACTAGTACGTATTCCGCACTTTACTAATAAATCTTGCACTCCATGAATGCGTTGCACTGCCACTGCAACTGTACTTCAACGTTTGGCCAAGGCTATGAAGTTCGAGTTTCGATCATGTAATGGCCGTTATTAAAATGACAAATACTTCAGTGCAGTATATCTGCTGAAGCTGAATTCGTCAATATTTGACTTGTATTAGCTCGTCTTACTATGTGCTAACCGGCACTCCTATTGCTGCCTTCCAGGATGAGCTGACGGATGAAATCAACGAGATGATGGTACTACAAAGCCCGACATTCTGCACACACGAGAAGTGGTCCAGTTTCCTCGAACTGCAGAAGGCCTGCGCCAACACTCTTGGACTGCCAGCCGTAAGTACTAACGACAA